ACTACGCCCGCTCATGCCGCATGTGCCAATGCGAAAAGCCTCGCGAGGACAAGGCTCCCGGGCTCATGCAGCCGATCGACAGCCAACAACCTTGGCAGGTCGCGGCCTGTGACATTATGGGACCTTTCCCAAGAAGCCGGAGAGGCCATGTTTTTCTCCTGGCTGTCACAGATCACTTCACGAAGTGGGTCGAACTGTTTCCCCTTCGGAAGTTAATGGCATGTGTAATCTGGGACAAGTTGACCGAGGTCCTTACCCGCTTTGGCGTTCCGGCGGAGTTGATCACGGACAATGCGTCTTATTTCACGGCCAAGGTGTTTGTGGATGCGTGTGCTGCTTTTGGCATTAAGCACCATAAAAGATCCACGTATCAACCACAGGCCAACCTGACCGAGCTAATCAACCGGAACCTCAAGCTCTTGCTGACAGCTTTTGCGCAGCAACACAGGGATTGGGATACTTGTCTTAACGAGATCGGCTTCTAGTTGCGGCCTACGGTCAATCACTCGACAGGGTACACGCCCGCTTTCCTCAACTTTGGGAAAGAGCTGCCTAACCCCATGGACCACGTCCTACGGGGCGGAGGCGGGGCAAGCGCCGCGAAGGTCAGCCCATTTGGCTACGCGGCGGAACTGCGCTCACGGATGGACGCGGCCCTCGACCTGGCGCGTTCTAACCTGGCAAAAGCACGAGCTGGTCAGAAGGCTCAATACGACCGATCGTATCGGGATGTCCGTTACGATGTCGGTGATCTCGTCCTCAAGCGCAATCACGTCTTGAGTGACGCCGCCAAAGGCATCTCGGCCTCCCTTTCGGCCAAATGGTTGGGCCCATACCAAGTGCACACCAAAGTGTTGCCCCTGGTATACAAGCTGGCTGACTCCCAAGGGAGACCAGTCGGCGGTCCAGTTAACGTTTCCGACCTCAAACCTTTCGTTGCTTGCAGCAACGACTTCGGGGACGGGGAGGCGGTCGCCGAACCGTAGGGAAACCGGGATAAGGCTGGTTCCAAACCACGCCACCGGTACAACCTGCGAAAACGCACCTAGGCTGATTTTCGCCCCCGGCATGTAGCGGAACGTTACCTCTCCACGTAAGGGAGCGGAGATTATAGCTGCTGTGCGAGAGCCCATCCAGCAGCAATAGTAACGGCTACCTGGCGAGCTCTCTCCCTGCTAACACCATTACACGCGCTGCGCGCGGAATATCCACCCGGTTCTCAGCGCTCCCGGCTGCTCGAGAGAGAAAAGCCCTTTCCCCGGTGGCTCACTCTCTCACTGGGTATTTTCCGCGTAGTCGGCGGGAGAAGGGAAGCGTGCGCCCTATTGGCTGACGCAACCTTCAATCCGACGGAGTTGGCCAGCCTGTCGTGCCTCCGGGGCCGCACTTTCAGTTGCGTTTCGACTTTTCACCGACACCCCAGCTTTTCGTTATGTCCTCCACTGGTGACCCGTTCTTTCAAGAAAAAGCCCGGGAGACCAGCCGCGCGCTCGGTCGTACCGCAGGCACCGGCCGCGTCCATGCCGGCTCTGTCAAATGCTCCCCCGGCCCCGGCTAACAAGACACCGTCTCGTCGTGAAGTCGCTACGTGGACATTCCAACATGGCACTGAGGCCCTGGTCGCCTTTGTGTCGACTCGTCGCTGGTCCAAGCAACGCAAAGTCTGGGTGGGGTTAGACCCCGAGTCCGTCCCACGTCTTTTTCGCAGACGCGCCCTTTCGGACCTGCTCGACGCTTCCGGAGGTGCTTCGATGCCGCCTGTTCCCGAGGCCTCCTACTGCGACGCTTGCGGTGTCCTGCTGGTACACGAGGCTACCCACCTCCGTTCGCGGGTTCACCGAACGAAGTCCGGCGATGCCGCCTGGCCTGGGCCTTTAACCTGCCCTGTCGACCGACTCCGTTCAGGCGGTCGCGGCGGCGCTCGTCATGGACTCATCATTCAAGTCGGCCATCGCTGCTGCGGTGTCTGCCGCCCTCCCACGGCCCCTGGTTCCTGCTGAGACGCCGCCGAACGAAGACACCGGGGCCCCCGTCGATCTCATGGACGGCACTGAGCTGGACCTCAGTTGTTTCGTCAAACTCTCGTTAATTCTGTCGTATGTGACTGCAGCCAGGTTCTTCAGCACCGCCAGTGTGAGACACAAAAGAAGAACAATATTCACGGACAACTGAGACGGTCACAACCTTTCTGAAAAATGTTACACCATCCACAATGGCATCGTTGGTGCATAAGAAGTGCACCGGTTCAAAGCCCGTTTTGGCTTAAGACTCTGGAGCCACGGTCACATTGTGAAGTTGCAACTGATGCAGCTTGCTCTGCTTTTTGCGAAATAGGTGCTGCATTACCCATGGAAAAGGAAGTGAATTAATGTAATAGCCACTTCGTAGTTTTCTTGATTCTTTTGATTATTTCACATTTGGGCAGTTGTTTCAGTATTATGTAATGCAAATTAACAAGCTTTTATTGTCTGCATCTGTCTGCTTCCTTGTGCACTATTTTTCGCCATGCCAACATTTTTCTGCATTGCTTGGCTCTGAAGGAGGGATGGCTTCTCCCGTCAGGATTAAAACTTCTCCATCATGTCCACTTTTTACCGCGAAAGCTGTTATGAGATCGCAACAAGGGTTGCTTGCGCTGTAGTTGTCTGCCTCCGCTGCTGCCCCCGGTGTCCATAACCACAAAACTAAAAAAGTAAAAAACACTGAGGACACTGGCATTTGAACCTGGGTCCCATCCATGTATGCCGGCCCAGTATTCTACCAATGAGCTACTCAGACGCTTGAAACTCCGTTGCAAACTGACCCTAGGCAGGCTTCATGTCGGGAAACGAATCATATTAATGTGTGTAATAAAGCATTATAGAATAGCAAACAAACAGCCAGGTGTCACGCAATACGAATTGCATAACGAGTGGGTTATCGAATGCTCCAACTAATTACAATAACATTAGGCATAATTCTTCATCTTCGTCAGCCACAGCATAAAAAAATTGCACAATATTTCTTGCAAGTGTGTAGCGCGTACCATGCTTCTTCTAAGAATCTTGAAAAATGGCTTAGTAAATGTCTGCCTACTACACAAAAATATTACCATATTTACAAACATTATGAACCCACCTTTTTTTCACAAAGGTTTATGCTAATGAAGGAGGAGGGTTCATTACACGGTAGAAAAAAAAAAGTCATGTTAGCTGTAATAACAGCAAACATTTCATATGACAGTATTAAGAAACTTGCCATGCGACTCCTGCTGGCCTTCAGTTTGGTGGCAATACTACAGAGCTCTATATCTGAACCTATTCAAGAGCTTCGCTCCACACAAGGGGAAACTGTCCTTGCTTCAACCCACAAAATGCGTGACCAACCTTTTTTGTAGCCTGACGCTCTTCTTGTTTTCTCCAGTAGCGAATGCATATGGATTAACGATGAAGTGTCGTACAGCTACACTATTTCCATGCTCTGGCGCATGCCCGACCAAGTTTAAAACCAGCCGTGTAGCTGCAAATGCAGCAAAAAGGTTTCTTCTACGTTCGACAGATGGCGGCACGCCGCAAAGGCGCAACGTTTAAATTTTGATCAACATCGTGCGCGCTCGCACCTGTTCAGCATGGTTGTTATACTATATTTTGACTTTTATCGCATCGTTATTTTGTGATATAATGGCGTGATTTAACATTGTTTTGATCGTCAATGGCACCGGCTATCACACCTTATTAAAATGAACAAATATGTATAAAAAATGAATTTTCTATTTCAAGGGCGCATTATGCAAATGGGTTCATTAAACGAGTAAATACGGGATTTATGGCGTAGTGGGTAGGTACCATGCAAGTGTGCTTGCAGCAGTTGCTCAAAGAATGTATAAAAAGGCTCTAGAAAGGCCGCTCTTCCAGCTTTCGCGATGATGGTGCTGTGCGTTCCACGCAGGCCTGGCTGTTTTTTCTTTTCCTCCTCCTCTGTGCACCCTGGTGATGTCGATAGTGTGCTGCGGTGGATCAGTGGTTATGGTGCTCGGTGGTTAGATCCGACCTCAGATTACAGTAAAGGCAAAATGCTGGAGATCCATATACAGTCCAATGTCAGTGCACGCTAAAGAGCTCTGGATTCTCGAGATTTTCGAAGCCTTCGTAATCATATTGTGGTAGTGGCATGTAAAATCTCAGATACTATTATTTGGCGACATGGACAGACTATTTACAAAAAGAGTTGTCTGTGCTCAATGCGGCTGCTGTTAGTGGGACCACGCCTCCCTTTTTCACTCTGAGATGAGCTAGTATGTCTACAGTAATGTGGATTAAAATGCGTGCACTTCACCAGAAAAAGTAAGCAGTTGTAGTGCTTTTCTACGTGGCACTTGCTGCCCTGCCGCGGTGGTCTAGTAACTAAGGTACTCGGCTGCTGATCCGCAGGTCGCGGGATTGAATCCCGGCTGTGGCGGCTGCATTTGCAATGGAGGCGGAAATGTTGTAGGCCCGTGTGCTCAGATTTGGGTGCACGTTAAAGAACCCCAGGTGGCCGAAATTTCCTGAGCCCTTCACTACGCCGTCTCTCATAATCATATGGTGGTTTTGGGATGTTATACCCCACATATCAATCAATTACGTGGCGCTTACCAGCTTGTTCTCTCCCGCTTTTCCCTGTGTTCTTGTGTATCCATGTGTGCGAGTCAAATAAATGAATATGCTTGGGCTCAAGAAAGTTTCCGTTAGAGTGACAATTCGAGCAAGGCGATTTCTTACTGTATATGCAATAAATACTCAAATGTAAGAGTAGAAACAATACAAAATATGCGGGCTAGCTCCATGCTTTGTAAGGATGACAACTAGTTTGCCTAGCCATCGGACTACACAGCATGTACCATAGCATGCTATGTTTGCCCAAAATTTGCACATAAGAAAAGTGGTATTTTTGCTTGAACGATTCTGCGTACATGTTTGGTTCTCTTGTTTACCTTGATCAACGTAAGACATTATAAGCAACCTCACTCTGTTGCTTGCCAGCTGCCGGCAGGAGGTGTTTGAGGAACAGTCTCTGCCTGCCGCTAGTGTGGTGGTGTGCTTCTACAACGAAGCCTGGTCTGCACTTGTGCGCACTGTGCACAGCGTTCTCGAGCGCACACCAGCCACTCTGCTCCACGAGCTGATCCTTGTTGATGACAACAGCACCTTGCGTGAGTACCTGTTCAGTGCAGTCAGAATTCAGCCAGATTCAACAATAACCTATTCAAAGTGATTTGGCCGCTGGGAGAGAGATTGCTGATGACGTGGGTTTCTAGCAGCGTTTGTGCAAATGCAACGTGTGTACATTATGTGCACAGCATGGGCGCACATTGCAAGATATTAAAGGTGTTGCTGCTCTGTGAATGAGTGTCAGAAGAGCATGGAGTTCTTTCATGCAGTTGCATGCAGTCTTTTCTAAGCATTGCCTCACAGCCACAGAAGTTTCTGCCGAAAATAAAAACACTGGTCATCCAGTTTAAAGGTCTGTGACCTTCTTTGAGTTCGATGTATCATATTTTATTTGTATACAGTAAAAGTTTTGCAGAACCCCTGTATTAAGTACAGTATAGTAGCAGAAGTTTCTAACAAAAGTAAATTTTTTGGTTGGCCCTCTATTCTTTCAATGCATTTAAAAGCCTTTTAATTCAAACTCTGTCACTTGATTAATTCATACTTTTTGCAGTTCTATACCAAAGTTTGTCGGCAGCTTTCCTACTACTATTTATAATTTTGTGTGCCTGTATAATCCTAACAATATAAAAATTAGAAATAAATGCCTCAGGTCTTCAAGGAAAGACGCTTTGCTAGTAAACAAATGTTATAAAAAAAGCACATGCATGATAAACCGTGATGCTTCTCAATCGGTATAGAGAGTTTTGTGCTGATAGGCATAAATTTTTCATTCCCATCTAGTGCAGCCACCAAAAAGGGTTTTGTTGATTCCGTACCAAACTGCAACTTAAATTGCGCGCAACTGCTACTGAAACGTAACCAACACCGATTAAGCCTAGCCTGCTGTTTGATATGTTGTCGCGGGAAGTTCCTACAAGACATGAAGATTCAGGGTCGAAAAGACTGCACTTAAGCACATAACAGCACTGAACTAAGAACAGCGTGCATGATGGGAAGTTCACATTCGCAGCCGGCAGATCAACAAGGACGAAAACCTGCCAAGTTTATGTAAGTCAGCGCACTGGCAGTAAAGGTGAAAGCTCGCGTCACGAAGCCGTCAAAGGTTTCAAATTTACGGACGAAGTAGCAAATGCCATATCTGTAGCAAGCACGATATTAACGATGCTTTTCCCGACAGGAAATTATGAAGCACAGTTGATAAAGAAGGAATCGCACGTGCCATATTGAGCCGCGCGCAACCGAAGCCACGATAGCGACGCTAACCTGCGCCGGTGCAAAGGCTTATCCGTCATTTAATCCATCGGCGAGGCAACAGTCCTTGCTGGCCCACACAAAGTGCTGCGTTTTCTTTTTCTTTTCTTTTTTTTCTCTCTGGTCTTCTTTCATTCACTCCGTGTCCCCTCCTCCTCCGAAATGACTTCGTCGTTCACTCCCCAGCGGTGCACCCTAGTGCGCCTCTTTTCAGTCGCGCACTCGCTACCACGATTGTCACAAAGATTTCCGGCAATCGCATTATGACCAGACTTTCAACTTGGGGAACTGCACTATAAGCGGTACGCGCAAATGTGGTGTTCTATGGGAAGGTGAACGGGAGTCGAAAAAGGCCGCATTGTAACCGGTTCTGCACTATAAGCAGTTACATTAGAAGTGGCCTACACTGTACTAAATGCTTTTGTTCTGTGGGTGCTATGTGTTCAAGGCTGTGCAATCGCAAGTTTCAGAGGCTCAACATATCTGGTTGGCTGGCCTTGTTTGTGTTACCTGATAGCTAGAACAGCATAGGTAGTCATCAAACATTTAAGATTCTTTTGGGCTCAAGCAAATTCACTTTTTTGTGGCTTTGCCAGAGTATCGCTGATACGAATATTTTGTAATCCTTCATAAAATTTGCATCACCGACACTGTTTTATACAGTGGTATTCATTTCTAACACAAAAAAAAAACAACATTCCCACCTTTCCAAAGGAAATAGCGAGGAAATGCAAATGCAATTCTTGTGCAGGAAAGTACACGGCGTACCAATAAGGACGAGACGAGAATTCGTATCGCAGCCATTTATTTACACACTCATCATGATGTGTTTGTGTTGTCATTGTACCTGACGGCCATAATAATTGTATCTTATCAACAGAAACGCTACGCAAACTCTGGCAGCACAAACACTACAAACACATTTCAAACGCACTGCATTGAGGCGGGGGCAAGTCACGTTCAAGTCAAGGAGGTAGGGGCTCCAGTTGCTAGGGGCGAGGATAAGCGTGCACCCACAGCTGTTGCTGACAGATGCCGATGCAGAAGCGTGACATAATGGGGTTCCGGTTGCTAGGGACGTGCGTTCCCGCAGCTGTTGCTATGGGAGAGGGCGGTAGACTGATCTCGTCGGACGCCTGACATAGTTCGACTATGTCAGGCGTTTTAAATGCATTCGCATTTAAAAAGCAGTATTGTATGTGTAATAATGATTTGGCAGAAACTGGTTGTCAGATGTGTACGATTTGGGTAAAAATCTCTGTGCTGTTTCTCTTGTAGCTGAGCTGGGCCTGCAGCTGTCTCGCTATGTTGCTTCCGAGCTGCCATCCAATGTGCGCCTCATCCGCACACCAGCGCGAGAGGGACTCATCCGTGCCCGCATGTATGGCGCACGCAATGCTTCTGGACAGGTGAGAATAGCTGTGCTCATATTGGAACGCTGGTGATGGTTTTTTATGACACTTGGTGACACACCAGCAAAGGAGCAACTTCATGAAAGTGTGGCTAAAATCACTTTTGTTCATTACAATAAGCTGTAATAGCATCCTAAAATGTTATCTAGGTCCCAGTATGTTCCTCCTGCTTGCCCACAGGTCTATGTAGAAAGATAGGTGGAAGGTTTCTAAATGCAGTAGAGCCACTGCTGTGCATTGTTTTACAGCGATGAAAAAAAAGATTGCTGGCTCTCCTGTAATCTAGTGTACACACGAGCCTGAAATGGCTACCAGCAAAGCAGATTGGTTGAGGTGACGCTAGCCACAGTCTCAAAATGGGTATAGCGCATGTTCTCGAGGGCACACCCCTTCACACAACTGAACGCGTACCGTGAACTTGTCACGGATCTCTCTCGGGGATGAGTGCTAATGGAAAGAGATCGAGTGAGGACGTTGGTCGGCACAGCAAACTTGGTTTAATGGTGACCAACGAAAAAAAGAATCTAGAAGAAAAACGGAACACTCGATGAACAAACAACTAACAGCGAAAACTTTATAAGGGACACTGAATAAGTATATGAAAATAAACTACACTCGTACCTCAATGTAACGAACACAATATAATGAAACATCGGTTATTAGCCCCGAGAACCAACACAGGCGGTGCGGCAGTCGGTGTGAAGTAACGTCATGACAAGGACTCGCCTGCTGCACAGCTAAGTAGGGTATCTCCTTTTTCTGCACCCGCCTTGTGCCCGCTCTTATGTGATACGGTGGTGATAACTGTTCATTGCTGCGATGCAGATCTGCCAAGGTAGAAGGTGGCTGTTTACACTGCCTGTGAAAGTTGAGTGAGCCACAGTAGTTGCAATGATCTTATGGTCAAACTCCCGTCTGAACGGGAGATTCACTGAGAACATTGTGGTGCATTACAGCAAGCATACCTGCCAAGTCTCCCGGATTGGCGAGGAGATTCCCGGATTTTGACCGTTTTTTCCGTTTATACGGTTGTCGTGAAAATCTCCCGGAAATTGAAATTTCTGTGCGTAGTCTGGCCACATTGACAAAAACGCAGCTCAATCCCCTCCAGGCTTTTAGAACCTACCCTATTTTATTATAAATGAGTTTAAGAGGTGTTCATCTAAACGTACAGTATAATCTCAGTGATACGAAACGGTGGCAGATACGAATTGTTGAAATCCCCAGCCAAATTCCACTATGCTCAATGATCCTCAATTCGAATGTTCCGAACACATTTCCTAATCACGGCAGGTGATATGAAGTTTAGTATGGAAACCGTCGAAAGAAGGCAGAGAACGAAGGCGAAACTTCAAAAGTACGCGTGCGACCGACGCACGCACTGTCTTCTACAGTGCTTGTGATTGTCGCTGAGGCAACCGCTGTGGACGAAACCGCGGTTGCTCTTGACACGATCATGTATAGCGACGACGTAACTGACAGAACCCCGAAAGTGTGCGCTCAACCAGTCAAAGCAACGCTGCTTTCCGCTAACTCTGCAAACAAAACTGCGACAGATGCTATCGTAGATGGCATAAAACGACCTAGTTTTGAAAACGTATGCGCATGCAGCTAAGCACACAGAGATTGTAAAATTAACTACCGTTTGCCGCAACCGCCGCGCACAAAACCTCGATTGCGGCAACGCGATAGCAATCTACGAGCTCCGAGGGCATGCAGCAGTAGGTTAAAGGCAGTGAATAAGTAAAAAATTTTAAAAAGTTACAGTTTTGCCGCAAGGGCGAAGCAATAAATGCGACAGCAACAACTTCGGATGTAACGCTGAGAACAGCAAGCAGATCGAAACCTGCAGCGCGCTGTTCACACAGAAGTGACGCACGAAAACGATACTCGCAGGATGAGAGCGAACTAACATTTATCGCTCAACGCTTAGCGCGCTGTTCAAAGAAAAACGATGCACGATACGTAATCACAGGTACAGATGAGTACAAACTAACAAGTGTCCCAGTTGTTATACTTCGCAGTGTATGAAAAGCGTGCTGTTTTCGCAAAAGGAGCCTGTGCAGAGACCAAAGTGGCCTTTGCGGGCCCGGTAACTAACGCTTTGGTTTCAGCGAAAGCCGAAGGCACACGATTCCCCCACCAAAGGATAAGCGCGCGCACAGGCATATACCCCCCCCCCCTCCCCCCAACCATGGGGCAAAGTACACGTGAGAGATAAGCACGCGTCGGTGCATTGCGACGAGCTCGGCGCCAAGCGTGTGCGGCTTTCTTTTTTAGTATTCATATATATATATATATATATATATATATATATATATATATATATATTTGTATACATATACGGTGAAGGACGGTAGCGGTGGCGACGACAAAAAACAGCCTGGGCAGTCCATATAATTGCTATCGCAATAAAAAGGAGAAGACGCGTTTTGGCGTTTATGTAAAAGAAATCTAGTAGTGAGTAAAGCTTTGATCCACTCTTTTGCCGCAGCCAGCCGCGCCATCCTGTCGTTCAAGTGTGTCCCAAGAAGGTACACGCGAGTCGTTTTGACCAAAATAGATTCTGCTAGTTGTGTTGATCCTTTGAGACTCTCACCTTAGTGAAAAACTCTACCCTCGTTTGTTTGCCCCCTCCTAGCCACTATAAGGCCGCAACGCTGACCTTGGCCCTTGCGATTGAGACCCCTCTCGCACCCCCATTTGTTTTTCCCAATGTTTTTTTTGTTTATTTGTCCTTGTTTTTTTGGGGGGGCTGGTACCTTCCCCCCTTCTTTCGTTGCGGAAATCTCCCGGATTCAGAATTCTTGAACTTGGCAGGTATGCATCACATCAAGGGATGCATTGTTTTCACTGCTTACGCCAAGGAATCCGTGTAAAAAGCTTTACGCTCATGTCCTAACTTTCTTTACAACTTGGCATAAACTCCAGAGTTGGAACATGTGTCCCAAAGAATTACAAATAAAATTATGGTGTTTTCAATTCACTAATTACATCACATTTTTTATGCAGATTATTCAGGGAATTTCACAAAGTAGTGCTTTCTGCTAAAAGAGACGTTAAATGAATTTGTAAAAAAAATTCTTTCAATATATCGAAAATGTTGAACAAAAGAATACGGTCCCATAAAAAATTCTCAGGGCGATGCTGACATGTTGTCTGTACTTAGTTACGTAAATATTTTTTCTAAACAGCTACCCACCTGCAATTATTTGGCCGCATATTTCGATTTGCAGGAACTGCTGGTTTGATCAAACGCCGGGTCACAAGCACTAATGTTTAATTCGCGTGTGAGCACTATTGATAGCAATTGTTTGCAAAGCAAATGCCTGAAAGTTGCAGTGAGTGTTGTGAACGGTTTCGATGGCGCTCTCAGCCACGTAGCCCGTGTGATAACTGAACGTTCTTCGCTTCAATGAGTCAGTGTCTGGTCTTCTCTAGAAGTTAATGAAGCTTGGGTGTAATCGAATGCAAGGAAACCTAATTTATGAAAAAGCTATCTAAGTCTTGTGCGAATAGAGAATTTTAGGCGCGAAGCAAATTCCGAAGCAAATAGTGATTTTGGTCGAATAATTCCGAATCGAATTCGAAAAGTATTTAAAACGGGCATATTTATTATGACCTAACTAACCTGCACAATAGTTTTAAAAAATTGAAATAGGGCCTCTGTGCAAAGGCATTTCTTTTTTCGTTCAAAGGAAGTCAAAACAACTTTGAGTAGTAGAAGGATATGACTTTCAGTAGGATGCAAGTCATAACCTTCAAAATATGTAACATTTCAAAGTTTTTTATACTTAAAGCATACAAGCTGTCACAACAAGCTTTTAAGTTTAATAAAATGAATTGATTTGAGGATAATATTTTTGTTTAAAGGGGCCATTCGACTTTCAAGTAGCCATGGAATAGATTTACGAAAGAAGCTTATTGCCTCATGAATTCGCTGACAGGAACATTTTTTAGACTCCGTCAAGTACGGGCGGAGCTGCAGAACTTCTCACACGTTGCAAGTGCATTCTCTCTTCTCATCCCGATGAAAGCTCTGGCAGCTAAGCAGGGAGGGATGGCACGGGAAAAGAAAACGCGCCACGCGAGCTTTCTGAGCTTGTGAAGTCATTTACCGAGAGAAAAGAGCTATATTTAGCTGGTTTTGAAAATTTATTTTGAATCACACACGACGTGCTGCGCTATAAATATTTGGCTTGCGTGTCCTCGGTAGCATCGAGTACCGATCGGTTGCATTTTCTGACAATGCTCAAAAAGTGTTGCACGGCCCCTTTAAATTTGTAGGGGGGCTTTGCCGCAGAAGGTATTTCTCCTGAATTTTTTTTTTTTTCAAGTTTAGCACGGCTACACTGCAGTGAAACAACCTTTACAAGTGGTACATTCGGATTAATATGCACCTATTTGTTCCTTGCGAATACTTCGAAATTTTCAATAATTTAAATTCAAATCCAAGTGAATTCAAATACCGTACTATTCATTCGAATATTTGAAGCATTTGAATACTTGCACAAGCCTAGGCTATCTAAACCGGTGCTTACGAGTGCAACAGTGCCACTGCTTTGATGCTGCACTCGTAAGTATTGCTTTCTACAATTAAACTTTACTCGTTTTATTTTGTGAAATAAAGCACGGAAATTACTTTGAGGAAAGCCTGAAACTACATGATAAATGAGCAAATACACAAGAAAGAAAAATTACAACAGCTGCGGAGGTATTCACAGTCAAGCTCTTTGGAGATACTTTGTGAGCCTCGATACAGGATGGACTTTTACAGCCTTGCGTAGAACTCAGTTCATTGTAAGCAGCGCAAAAGTAAGCCAGTGGTTAACAAATGCAAGACTTTGAGCAGAAGCCCTGAAAAAAATAGCACGTGAAATACTTGAATCATTTCACACTGCAAAGAATGGCGAGGCATGTTGCAGTGATAGCTCTGTGGTGTTGCATAGCAAGGAAAAAAGATTTCTTGCGACCTTTTCCATAATCTTGTGAAAAATAACAATGTGAAGATTGCATACAATGATTGCACGTTTATTTTATTTTACATTTTTTAGTAAAGAGATTGTAACATGACCGTGTGAGCCTTGCTTTCATGAATAAACAGTTGGTACTCTAGCCACTTTCCCGTCTCCTCCGTTTTTTTTTTTGTACATCCATTTTTGGCTGGATATGTTTTCTGGATGGGATTATATATTTCTCGGAAATTTTACGTTCCGCGAGAGCTCTCGGGTGGGAGGTTGAAAGTGTGGCTCTTCTGTATACATTTTCAAGACGCAATGAGTGTGGCTAGCATGTGCCAATTTCTCATAGTATTCAAGCACTGAGGGCTAGCTTGACAGAATTCTCTGCACACAGGTATTGGTGTTCCTGGACAGCCATTGTGAAGTGAACGTGGGTTGGCTAGAACCCATGCTGACACGCATTGGCGCCAACCGCACCACAGTGACATGCCCCGTCATTGACATCATCAATGCAGACACTTTTGAGTACAGTGCGTCACCCATTGTGCGTGGTGGCTTCAACTGGGGCCTTCACTTCAAGTGGGAGTCCCCGCCCAGGCTGCGAAGACCACGGCAAGCCATCGACCCTATACCGTGAGTGCAGGCGGGTCAAGTTAGGCTCAGTGCCTCATTTTTTTAAATACTATGCTAGTTGACGGCCTTACCTGATTTATTTTCGAAGATAAGAAGAAATACCACGTTTATTACAGTCAAGGCTAATAGTCGTTTTATTCAAATACCAGGGTAGCCTTAGGTATGAGCATTTTACGATTGCACCAGTCTATGAATGAAACTGACAACATATGGTGAAACATATGCTGCCAAAACTGTATTGAAAAGATTGTACCGCAGCAGCTACTGATCACCCCAGTAGCCAACAAGGAGCACCTCTCTTGCTACTAGCATGGTGAGTCTGCCTTATTTCTCACGCCGTTGTGGCTCATTGTATGCCTGCTGCTTCCTGAGAACAACATGCAACTCGAGCTGTAGTGGACACCATGCTTTATAGCAAAATATATTTCCTATTTTCGATAGGATAAATGCCAGGAAAGGTTTACAACTTCGACACAAGTGTGGCTATTGCTGGAAATGCAATAGTAGCAGGCTTGTGTGAATATTCGAATGCTTTGAATACTCGAATGAATATTACAGTATTTAAATTTGCTTGCTTCGAATTTAAATTGTTAAAGATTTTGAAGTATTCGAAATGAACAAATTAGCCTGCATGTAAGAGTGGTTTCACTGCAGTGGAGGGGTACTAAACCGGAAAGACACCCATCAAAGAGATCTGCACTGCCGTGAAGTGACACTTTTTTTATTTATTTATTTATTTATTTGTACCCTCAAGGCCTACAGGCATTTCAGAGGGGAGTGGGTTACAAGGTTATACAAAAAACTAAAAAGCAGCAACAAAAGTAGTAAGCAGATAAGTACAAACATACATGGGCCCTAATCATACAATGTTAGCTAGTGCTGCACGAAATTGATGGTTGTCTTCGATTGCGGCGGTCAGTCCGGGAAGGTGGTTCCAATCTTGTGACGTCCGAGGAATAAATGACAGAAAGAAGGCATTGGTGTTGCATGGTACTGTTCCTACTTTGTGTCGGTGATCCATACGAGAAGAAATATATGAAGGAGGAGTAATTAACTCACTGAATAGGGGCGAATTATGGTAGTAAATTTTGTGAAAGAGACAGAGGCGAGAGTGTTTGCGGCGCGAAGTTAGAGTGGGTAATTGAAGCAAGTTTTTCATGGACGTGACACTTGCCGCACGGGTGAAATTACCGAGAATGAAACGTGCTGCGTTGTTCTGCACGAGCTCAAGTGATGTCACCAGATAGTCATGGCTCGGGTCCCAAATGGATGATGCATATTCGAGTTTAGAACGAACCAATGATTTATACAAAAGTGTTTTTAAAGAGGTAGGTGCAGAAAAGAAGTTGCGGCGAAGGTAGCCAAGCAGGCGATTAGCATTATTAATAACGGTATTAATATGAAGCGACCAGGTAAGATCAGTTGTTATGTGAATTCCCAGGTATCGGTACGACGTCACAGGTTCAAGAAGTGTGTTGTTAAGGTAATAGGAACCCGTCGAAAGGGCTGTTCTTGAAATGCGTAAGACTTTGCATTTAGTTGTATTAAGTTCCATTAACCATTGCTCACACCAGTTAGAAATTGCATTAATGTCCGATTGCAGTGCCGTAGCATCGTTATCGTTGTTAATTTCTCGAAAAATAACACAGTCATCTGCAAACAAGTGAATATTAGAGAGAACACAGCTAGGTAGGTCATTAACGTATATCAAAAACAAAAGTGGTCCCAAGACAGAGCCCTGGGGAACGCCGGAATGAACAGAACTGGGTGGAGAGTCATAGTTATTGGCTGTGACGAACTGGAAACGATTAGAAAGGAAATACTCAATCCATGCAAACAACTTAGGATCTTGCCCCGCCGCGGTGGTCTAGTGGCTAAGGTACTCGGCTGCTGACCCGCAGGTCGCGGGTTCGAATCCCGGCTGCGGCGGCTGCATTTCCGATGGAGGCGGAAATGTTGTAGGCCCGTGTGCTCAGATTTGGGTGCACGTTAAAGAACCCCAGGTGGTCGAAATTTCCGGAGCCCTCCACTACGGCGTCTCTCATAATCATATGGTGGTTTTGGGACGTTAAACCCCACATATCAATCAATCAATCAACTTAGGATCTAGATTTAACTTGCTTAGTTTGTAAAGGAGTAGTTTGTGAGACACTTTGTCAAAAGCCTTGGAGAAGTCGAGGAAGATACAATCAGCGGATGAACGGCGATCTAAAATTAAGTGTAGCTTGTGGGTTAATGAAAGCAATTGGGTCTCGTACGAGAACTTCTTTCGAAAACCATGTTGCGTGGGTGAGATGAAAGAGTTAAATTCAAGAAATTCAAACACTTGAACACTACCTTCAAACACTTGAACGCTACCTTCACATCAATTAATCTTTTTTTTTTAATTTAAAAGTTTGTTGTACCTCCTTATATACTCTGAGTATAGTAAATTCTAAACCATAGTATATTTTGTAGGTTATCACTTGCATTCTACCGAAAGTAAAATCCTGCAACACAGTGGTGTAAATCACGGGGGAGGGGGGGGGGGGAGTAGGGTGAAGGTGTCCTTACACTCTTGTGCTCAGGCTGGGGGGACCTTGCAAGCTGAATTCCTCTTTTAAAGATCATATATGTGAATGACTTGACAGGTAAGCATAGTGAGCTCAACTTATTTAATGCCTGCTTTTTTTCCCCCACATTGTAACGGTGTCCAGTATCCCTCAGCTGGGTGAGACTATTGAACTCGCAACTTCCGCTCTACCGCTTTCCAGGAAACTGAGTTGAAAAATACAATTTTATGAGCTGGGAACCTATATTCATTGTCAATGTAAATCATTGTCAATGTAAATCATTTGTCAATGTAAATTCATGGCGTTATCTTAACTTTTTGTGAGTAGAAATAAAACCTACTACGTTAATGAAAACAAGATGTCCTACCATGGCAAGATATATTAGTGATATATCTGGGGATCTTTCTAGATTTATAGCATCGCTGCTACTAATTGAAGTTGTTTCTACTTTTTTTTACAGAAAAAAAAAAGGCATTTGCACTGGCCTTGTCTAAATTTCTTAAAAAATATTGTGTAGGTTAGTTGGATCATACCCATTTGTCTGTATAATATGAAATATGTACTATTAGAATTCGATTAAAAATTATCTGATGAAAATCAGTGTTCGCTTCGAACCTAATATTCACTATACCCACAAGCTTAGATAGTAGCCACGGATGGTGGTACGAGTGTGACTCATCGCCGATAATCCTGTTGCATTAGCCAGTTTCGCTGGCACTTGGCAATCTCTATGCCTTCACCGGAAACATGCCCTTGGAAACTTTTTTTTTTATTAAATGTATGTAAGGAGACCTTGGAAACTTCGTGCTTCGCTTGTTCTTGCATGGTTTTAGCCTTTGTTGCTGGCCACGCTTGCTTGTGTTTCAATGTTTTATTTAGGTGGAATTATTCCTATAAAGTGCTCGCAACTCAGCCACAGTTGGCACGGCTGTGTCATGCCAGGATGCAGTCTGCAAGCCTGAACTAATTTTATAGGCTAGTCGGAACATTCTGTTTTCGAATTGAAGATAGAAAGAGCACCTGCATTGCAGCAATCATGCGAGAAAACGGGATTTCCACAAAGAGTGCCTAGGTTTGTTCTGCCCGATTCATTAAAGGCATTGTAAAGCCCACCAAAGACCAATGGCCCAGAGATGATGTTCAGACGTTACATTATTTGAAAGCCCCCAGTTGCTGGGAACACATCAGATTCCATCATCTTCCACCCGTGGCAGATAAGTGCTCTGGTGTCTGAAGTGGGTAGCAAGACCTGAAAGCTAACACTGAAAATCCTTCACGAAGGCATTTCTTGTATAGTTTCGTCGACATCAATAATATTCTTACAAGAAGAATTCATTAAGTTGAACCCAGTCGGGTTAACACTGCACACTGAGCATAGGAATGCAGGACAACAGGAGAATGCAGACTCAGTCCCACAACAACTTCGTTGTCTTCATCCCTTCTATGTCATTTCAGCACACGTGCCTGAGGTACCTTTCTATACCCGTGACACTACCCTAGTCCGCAAAGCACCGTCCCGGTGCCTGCTATGATTAGAAGGACAAGTCACTGTTATTTGGCTTCAGGTGAGAAACATGCACAGTGTCATTTCTGGATGTAACAGTCGAGTTCGTAGTCGGGAAAATCTCATAAGTGACAGGCATAACTTGGCGCAGTACTTGGTAGGGCCCGACGTATCACGATAAATGTTTCTCACAGAGGCCGACACGATGAGATGAAAGCTACAGTAGCACGAAAGCACCTGGAGAAAAATTGGCAGCCCTATGTCGTATGTCATGAAGCGACTATTGTGCATTCTAAAACGGTGAGAACAGAGCGGGGGCAACTGTACATGCGATGAGAGCACAGGAGATGGCCTCTTGAGCATATGAGGTGGTAGATGAAAGGGTCAGCAGGAAGCAGTGTATTGAGAGGTAGTAAGGGATCGGGGCCAAAGAGAAGATAAAATGGCGAGTAGCCGGCAGTTTCATGACACAACGAGTTGTAGGCGAAGATTACAAACTGGAGGGCGATGTCCCCATCAGTGTGGTCATCAGAAACGTACATGGAAAGCATGTCATCAATGTGTAGTTGAGGTAAGTTCGTTAGTTTGAGAATGGTACGAAGTCGTAAACTTATGTCGTGTAGCACTAAATCGAAGCAGGTCAAGCACACGAGACGAGAAGTAGCGGCCACGGTCGGTGAGTGAGACCGAGCACCATGTTGAAGGATGATGTCGTTTAGAAGGAAATCTGCAAATCCGTCACGCATCTGGTTGGTAGCGCTCCAATAATTGCATACCGAGTAGCATAATCCATCACTACTGCAATTCATTTGTTTCTCGTTGCTGAAGTTGAGAAGGGTTCGAGCAAGTCCAACCCCACTCGATGAAATGGCTCGGCTGGGACCAATAGGTTGAAGGTGACTGGCAGCGAGAGACGTAGGTTTCTTTCGCCGCTGACACAGGTC